CTTACTACGCAGATGGACAGTGATTATGAAGGGGTATGTGTGGGGGACTTGGTGAAGGGGGGAGCCTAGTAAACACAATGTTCTTCATGTAATTGTAGATTAATGATACAAAAAAAAAATTCTAATAAAGCAAGCTAAAATAGTTACAAGAGAAAAGAAAAAAGAAAAAAAAAGAAAATTGGCCTGTGGATACCTGAGGAAGAGAGTTGCAGTTACAGGGAACAGCCCATACAAAAGCCCTAAGGCGCTAATGCACCTGGTATGTTTTAGGAGTAGCAAGATCAGTGTGGGTAGACTGGAGTGAGTAAAGAGGAAGAGGTTTATTGTCCATTCCTTCTGGAAGATTTCTGTGGCTCCCAGGAAGTCTCTGGGCCAAAGTGCCTCTCCACTATTAAGTAACTTGCTCTTTCTCACTTAATAGTTTAAGACAATTAATTTTTCCACATATATACATGTTCTACAGCCTAACCTTTAAAAGCCACATAATATTCCATCATGTGTCTCCACCATTTATTTATTTTGATAATTCCCCATCAGTGGACTTCTGGGTTATTTTTTAAGTTTTCATCTCTACAACAGCATCACAGTGACCATCTCTTTGGCTAAATTTTTCACTGAATCCAGGAATTTCCCTAGAAAGGATTCCTAAAGTGAACTCACTGAGACACAGTGAAAGCAGTATGTAAAGCCCTTTGATGGGTATATACCCATCACCCAGCTATGACCTTTCCACATACCCTCCCCACCTTTACACTGGATTGTGGTTCCAGGCTCAAGCACAGACATCAGCGAGGACTGGGAGAAGGACTTTGACCTGGACATGACCGAAGAAGAAGTACAGATGGTACTTTCCAAAGTGGATGCCTCTGGAGAGGTGAGTGGGCCTGGCTGGCCACAGGCACTAAGCCCAGTGAGCCCAGGGTCTGAGGACTCTCCCCATCAAGCCCAGTTGTCCCCTCAGGGTGGATCTCTGCTCTTCTCTGAGGTGGTAGGCTATGGGAAGGAAGTTAGGATCTCCCACTCAGGCCCTGAACAGTTGTTATCAGCAGGCTCTGCTTCCCCTCACTTCCAAGGTCAGTGGATGGAAGAGTTCTTGACATTAGCTCTGTATCAAAATCACCTGAGAAACTACTAAAAAAGATGCTAGACCCTGCCCCCAACATTCTGACTCATTGATTCCAGGTGTGGGACCTGAGCAGACTTCTGGCCTTGGAGACAAAAGACAATGTTATCTAGGGCAATTTACTCAAACCGAGCCTGTTTCCCTATCTAAATCATGGAATTGATCATCAGAACCTTGTAAGCTGTGATAGACCATGCATGTAGATGCATTAGGCAGAGTGCCTGGAACCTGAGAGCACTCAATGAACATTACTGAAACCACCACAAAACCCAGTTATAAAGTCAGAGACCTTACTACTTTTTTTCTTCATTACCTCTCACAATCAACAGTGGGTCATTTTGAATGAGAGGCTAGGAAGAAAGCTGTCACAGCTAGTAAGTGACAGGACTGAGGCTCTAGCCAAGACATCTGATTCAAATCAGTGTTAGCTTCCACTGTCACACAAGAACCACACGGTTCCTTATAACATGTAGCTCTTGAACCTGCTATAATGAGTGAACAGATTAGAGAGATGGGAAGGGCCTCATTTTTCATATTGGAAAACTAGAGCCTAGAGGGAGGTAGAGACCAAAGAGTATTTTGCACCTGTGACCTCACTATACCCAGGGCAGGAGATGCCCACAGCACTCTGTCATGCCACAGGGCCTTGATGGCTTTTAAGTCTTTGCAGCCCTTTTTGAAACCCATCATACAATATGCCCAGGCAGAGTCATTCTGGGACTCATCATACCATGGTCAGCTGACAGCAGGCCAAGAGAAAGTTCCCCAGGGACTTCAGTGGGGATTAGGGTGCTGGAGCCCCTATGAAGGCCCTGTGAGCCCCTGCTGTCCATTGCCGCCCTCGCTCTTGATTAGTGTACTCTCAAGTTCTCTGTCTCTCAGAGCCGTGTTCTCACATGCTCAAGAGGAGGCAAATTATCCTTAAAGGATGGACTGACTTGGTTCCTGTGGACAGGGCATCCCCTTGTACTGTCCTGTGTTGGTTGGCACTTCATTTGGGTCGTCTGGAATGATCAGAACAGCAGACCCACTCCTTAGGCAGAGGGCAGCTGTGCTCCCCATACACATTCCTTAAGACTAGTGGTTCACTCCCATAGGGGGGCAGGATATGGCCTGGGGGAGTGGGGGAAAATCGGAGGATGGCTATCCAGAAATGGAGGCAGCAGGGGGAGATTTGGTCTGGGCTTGACTCAGAGGAATAAATATGTGTTGTGCTCTCCATTATTCCCTCCTATTTGCAGCTGGAAGATGTAGAGTGGGAGGACTGGGAATGAGGGGAGCGAGAACGAGCAGCTCCCCCACCCACAGCACCTCCCACGTCCCTCATTCATCTCAGTCCAGCCCTGGAAGATACTGACTGAGAATGTTTTCCAAATGGCCTCTGTCAACCAGAGCTCTGCACACAGATTCTGGGTTGCTCCTTGCTGGCCCTTTAGGCCTCTGCTCACATCTGGGAAGAAGCTCACTAAATCCAAACCAGGAACTCTGACTTGTGCCAACGACAGAATGACTTAAAGGGGAGGATACCTAGCCCCATCACCGGAAGAACCTACATTTCTCTGCGGAAACACCTACTGTTGCTGGGCAGTCCCAAGGGATAGCTCTGGCCCTTCTGAAGCCTGTATAGACAGAAGCTAAACCACCAGTCTCTTGGAGGAAGTGGAGACCACATACTCTGTCCACCCATAAGCAGGCAAGGGAGGTCATCCACCTGCCCTTGGCTAGATAGGGATGGCAAGCACATTCTGGTTCCTGTCCCAGTTGGTGAGAGGCATTTGTCTCTGGGAAATTTGCCTCTCTTGGGAATCTCTCCCCGCCCCAGGCATTTTCCATTCCTGGAAATCTTCCTTGTGGTTCAGAATCTAGAGACCAAACCCTGAGTTCCCACCTCCTCCTCCTCTTCATCATGCCCGGGCTGGTATGTCCCCAATGCCTCTCCTAGGGCTTAGTCTGTCAGATGCACCCAAGTCCTTAGTCCAGCTGTGCCACCTATGAGAGTCTGCCCCCCCCAAGAAGGGAAGGGGCCACTTCAGGCCCTTCTGTGCATTGCCTAGCAGGATACCTTGTCCAACCAACTACTCACCTCGAGTCCCCTGTAGCTTAGGGCACAGCCAGCTACCAGTGGTACAGAGCAGCAAGCAAAGCTGAGTACTTACAACTCAGGTAAGTCCAACTTCTCCGCCTCAACCCTTCTGCATCTGGAAGGGATCTGTTGGGGATGGACTTCTTGAGACTCTCATCAGGCTTCTGCAAAAGCTCTTCTTCTTGAAGACAGACCCAGTCTTTGTGGGTCTTACCCTCCATGCTGGTAAAGCTGTACCTCTCTTGGGGGAATGAGGGGCTGTAGGAATGCCTGAAGACCCTGGTGCTTCATGCTGCTGCTCTGGTGATTCTTGTAGATAATCTGGTATGTTCACCAATGATTTAAAGGGATTGTGGTCAGGGATGCCAAGAGAGTGGTGGTCATTTCTACTTCAAACCTTCAATGAGGGGGTGGGATGGAGAGAATGCTCAATCTTTTTTTCATGGAATAGGGTTTTTCTCTTTGTAATTATTTCTTTAGTTTACCTTTTGGTTGGTTGTGCAATATTATATATTTTAAATTATAATGCATCTCCCCAGAGTATTTTGTAGCCAGGAAAAGAAAAAAGGAAAAAAAAAAAAGATTCTAACAGCTGTTAGTTTTGTAATTAAAAATGAGAGAAAAAAGACCTTTGTCCTGAACGTTTTCCAGACTTTCCGTTAACAGCATTAAAGAGATTCAACAGAAGCTGTAAGGTGTCTGGGGATCTGTTCTTGTCCCCCAGGGCAGGAGGCACACAGTAATTGGTGGCTTCCCACTTGGAGCCTAGGAGAAGGGGAATGAGTTTGGGGAGGGGTGGTCTGGGTCCTGAGGAAGTCCCTTGTCCTCATTCCAGACTCAGCTTGGCCTTTGAGTCACCAAGACAAGGAATCAAGAGGCTGTTTCTACATTCCCAGTGCTTCTGCTTTGGGAGAAATTGCTCTTGGTCATTTTTCTCCTCCTCTCTCCTTTCCTCCCCCTATATGTGTATGATTCTGGGGTCTATTTTTAATTCGCTTTAGTTAAACACCTGTATGAAAATCACTAAGTCAGCCGTAATAAAAGGGAAGTCTGAATGAGGCCCTCTGGTTCCATGAAGATCTTTAAAGGGAAAGAGAAGTAAGGCGGGTGTAGGTGATAAGTAAAGTATAGAATATATATATCACCATTTTGGAAGCGGGTTTTGGGGCTTGCTTTCTCCCCCTGCTTTATTGGGGAGGACTTGCCATTGCTTTCATCAAGTGCTTGCTAGCCATGGATGCCAACTAACTTCTTCAATCGAAGGCCGGAGGATCATATCTGGTTCCAGAAGCCACTTGAGCAGGTCCTGGCATTCGGCTGAGATGCCCAGATGGGTGGGGAAGGACACCCCCTTCTGCTGCTGCCACAGCATCTTAGGGATGTTTGTGTCATCAAAAGGTAGGCTGGCACAGAGCATGACATACAGGACCACACCCATGCTCCAGACATCACCCTTCTTGCTGTCATGGGGAATACCCTGCAGCACCTCGGGGGCAGCGTAGGCTGTGCTGCCGCAGAAGGTCTGGCTCAGCTCCCGGCGTGACTTGGGCAACACCTTGGCAAAGCCAAAGTCAGTCAGCTTCAGGTTCAAGCCCTGCAGCAAGGCGTTCTCGCACTTGAGGTCCCGGTGAGCCACGCCACAGCCATGACAGTAGCGGATGGCCTCCACCATCTGATGGAAAAGGGCCTTGGCCAGGCTCTCAGGTAGTGGCCCTCCATTCAACACACAGTCAAAGACATCCCCTCCCTCAGCCAGCTCCATCACCAGGTAGATTTTCCCATCAGCAGACTCCAACATCTCATATACCTGGATGATGTTCTTGTGGTTCAGGGTATGTACAATCTGGAGCTCCCGAGGCAGGAATCTCTGGATAAATTCTGAGGAAACAAGCGGGAAAACATGGGGTATCAAGTTCAGAAGGGCCTAACTCTTCTTTCCTGTCTCCTCTTTTCCAAATTCTCTCTGCCTATCTGCCCACTTTGTCTGGGTTTTGTGCCTTGACTCCTGTTAACAGTCTTAAAAACATCTAGCTGCTTAGATATTGCAAAGAATATTCACTGCTGTTATTTTTGTAGTTACTACATTATTCAAATGAACTCCTCCCTGCCAGCCTCAAGAACTGTTGTGAGTAGCCTATGAGACCATATCAAAGTGCTTTGAGGACTTTTAGACAAAATCATTCAATCTCAGGAGCCCTGATTGCTCACAGAATGGTGAGCCAACTCCTCTCACCCTTGCATCCTGACCCAGTTTTTTCCGTGAGCCGTCTTCCTTTTTCCCATCTCTTGCCACCTTCCTGGGCACCAGATCCTGCCTCTGCTAGCCCTGGCCATGGCCTGTCAGTCTCTGTACCCCTCCTGGAATTGGAAAGGCCTGGCAGGCTTGGGTCCTGCCACTTTAATTTTGGGTGTTGGGAGGGTGTAATGTTCCCTGACTCCCAGCATCCTCTGTTCCCCACTGACCTACCCAAGAGCCACAATCTCTGTTGCTTTCCTTGGTTCCAGACTAAAGGGGAGCAGGGCATGACTGGAGAAAACACCCACCCCACCTCAGCCAGCCCTTCCTTCCTCCAAAGGGGCCCCAGCTCACCTTCTGGCCCTCCCATCTTGTCTATAATTTTAATTGCCACTTTTCTTTCGTGTTTTTTGGAAAATGCTTCTTTGACTTTTGAGTAGGTCCCTTCCCCAATGGTCTTGCCCAGCTCGTACCCATTGGAGAGGAGAAAGTCCTCCATGCTGGCTAGCGTCTCCTTACTTCCTGTCACACTCCCAGCTCATGCTGTCTCTGTGAGGCAGCTCTACTCCACCACCGCCCTTGGCCTGCGCTTTTTCCCCCCAAGGACTTCATCCGCAGCCACCCCAGCGCTAGAACATTCTCCTTAGGAACACAGCAGCCGTGAGTGGTGGGGAGGGAGAGGGCCGGACATTTTCTAACTGGCCCAATTGTGATGTAAATGCTGTGTGACCCCTGGCTAAACTGGCAATGCCCCTATCTGCCCTCACCACCACCAAACCCAGCACCAATTAGGTCGCTGCTGTGCCCCTGCCCTGCGCCAGCAGGGAGTCGCAGCCCCTCCTTTAGGGGACGCTCCGTGGGGTCTGCGTGCCGTCCAGGAAGACTGGCTGTTTTCCGAAGACGCGCCCCACGCGACTGTTTGCCCTCGCCTGCTGCGCCCCCATCGCGCATCTGGGGGACTATCCAGAAATGGAGGCAGCAGGGGGAGATTTGGTCTGGGCTTGACTCAGAGGAATAAATATGTGTTGTGCTCTCCATTATTCCCTCCTATTTGCAGCTGGAAGATGTAGAGTGGGAGGACTGGGAATGAGGGGAGCGAGAACGAGCAGCTCCCCCACCCACAGCACCTCCCACGTCCCTCATTCATCTCAGTCCAGCCCTGGAAGATACTGACTGAGAATGTTTTCCAAATGGCCTCTGTCAACCAGAGCTCTGCACACAGATTCTGGGTTGCTCCTTGCTGGCCCTTTAGGCCTCTGCTCACATCTGGGAAGAAGCTCACTAAATCCAAACCAGGAACTCTGACTTGTGCCAACGACAGAATGACTTAAAGGGGAGGATACCTAGCCCCATCACCGGAAGAACCTACATTTCTCTGCGGAAACACCTACTGTTGCTGGGCAGTCCCAAGGGATAGCTCTGGCCCTTCTGAAGCCTGTATAGACAGAAGCTAAACCACCAGTCTCTTGGAGGAAGTGGAGACCATATACTCTGTCCACCCATAAGCAGGCAAGGGAGGTCATCCACCTGCCCTTGGCTAGATAGGGATGGCAAGCACATTCTGGTTCCTGTCCCAGTTGGTGAGAGGCATTTGTCTCTGGGAAATTTGCCTCTCTTGGGAATCTCTCCCCGCCCCAGGCATTTTCCATTCCTGGAAATCTTCCTTGTGGTTCAGAATCTAGAGACCAAACCCTGAGTTCCCACCTCCTCCTCCTCTTCATCATGCCCGGGCTGGTATGTCCCCAATGCCTCTCCTAGGGCTTAGTCTGTCAGATGCACCCAAGTCCTTAGTCCAGCTGTGCCACCTATGAGAGTCTGCCCCCCCCAAGAAGGGAAGGGGCCACTTCAGGCCCTTCTGTGCATTGCCTAGCAGGATACCTTGTCCAACCAACTACTCACCTCGAGTCCCCTGTAGCTTAGGGCACAGCCAGCTACCAGTGGTACAGAGCAGCAAGCAAAGCTGAGTACTTACAACTCAGGTAAGTCCAACTTCTCCGCCTCAACCCTTCTGCATCTTGAAGGGATCTGTTGGGGATGGACTTCTTGAGACTTTCATCAGGCTTCTGCAAAAGCTCTTCTTCTTGAAGACAGACCCAGTCTTTGTGGGTCTTACCCTCCATGCTGGTAAAGCTGTACCTCTCTTGGGGGAATGAGGGGCTGTAGGAATGCCTGAAGACCCTGGTGCTTCATGCTGCTGCTCTGGTGATTCTTGTAGATAATCTGGTATGTTCACCAATGATTTAAAGGGATTGTGGTCAGGGATGCCAAGAGAGTGGTGGTCATTTCTACTTCAAACCTTCAATGAGGGGGTGGGATGGAGAGAATGCTCAATCTTTTTTTCATGGAATAGGGTTTTTCTCTTTGTAATTATTTCTTTAGTTTACCTTTTGGTTGGTTGTGCAATATTATATATTTTAAATTATAATGCATCTCCCCAGAGTATTTTGTAGCCAGGAAAAGAAAAAAGGAAAAAAAAAAAAGATTCTAACAGCTGTTAGTTTTGTAATTAAAAATGAGAGAAAAAAGACCTTTGTCCTGAACGTTTTCCAGACTTTCCGTTAACAGCATTAAAGAGATTCAACAGAAGCTGTAAGGTGTCTGGGGATCTGTTCTTGTCCCCCAGGGCAGGAGGCACACAGTAATTGGTGGCTTCCCACTTGGAGCCTAGGAGAAGGGGAATGAGTTTGGGGAGGGGTGGTCTGGGTCCTGAGGAAGTCCCTTGTCCTCATTCCAGACTCAGCTTGGCCTTTGAGTCACCAAGACAAGGAATCAAGAGGCTGTTTCTACATTCCCAGTGCTTCTGCTTTGGGAGAAATTGCTCTTGGTCATTTTTCTCCTCCTCTCTCCTTTCCTCCCCCTATATGTGTATGATTCTGGGGTCTATTTTTAATTCGCTTTAGTTAAACACCTGTATGAAAATCACTAAGTCAGCCGTAATAAAAGGGAAGTCTGAATGAGGCCCTCTGGTTCCATGAAGATCTTTAAAGGGAAAGAGAAGTAAGGCGGGTGTAGGTGATAAGTAAAGTATAGAATATATATATCACCATTTTGGAAGCGGGTTTTGGGGCTTGCTTTCTCCCCCTGCTTTATTGGGGAGGACTTGCCATTGCTTTCATCAAGTGCTTGCTAGCCATGGATGCCAACTAACTTCTTCAATCGAAGGCCGGAGGATCATATCTGGTTCCAGAAGCCACTTGAGCAGGTCCTGGCATTCGGCTGAGATGCCCAGATGGGTGGGGAAGGACACCCCCTTCTGCTGCTGCCACAGCATCTTAGGGATGTTTGTGTCATCAAAAGGTAGGCTGGCACAGAGCATGACATACAGGACCACACCCATGCTCCAGACATCACCCTTCTTGCTGTCATGGGGAATACCCTGCAGCACCTCGGGGGCAGCGTAGGCTGTGCTGCCGCAGAAGGTCTGGCTCAGCTCCCGGCGTGACTTGGGCAACACCTTGGCAAAGCCAAAGTCAGTCAGCTTCAGGTTCAAGCCCTGCAGCAAGGCGTTCTCGCACTTGAGGTCCCGGTGAGCCACGCCACAGCCATGACAGTAGCGGATGGCCTCCACCATCTGATGGAAAAGGGCCTTGGCCAGGCTCTCAGGTAGTGGCCCTCCATTCAACACACAGTCAAAGACATCCCCTCCCTCAGCCAGCTCCATCACCAGGTAGATTTTCCCATCAGCAGACTCCAACATCTCATATACCTGGATGATGTTCTTGTGGTTCAGGGTATGTACAATCTGGAGCTCCCGAGGCAGGAATCTCTGGATAAATTCTGAGGAAACAAGCGGGAAAACATGGGGTATCAAGTTCAGAAGGGCCTAACTCTTCTTTCCTGTCTCCTCTTTTCCATTCTCTCTGCCTATCTGCCCACTTTGTCTGGGTTTTGTGCCTTGACTCCTGTTAACAGTCTTAAAAACATCTAGCTGCTTAGATATTGCAAAGAATATTCACTGCTGTTATTTTTGTAGTTACTACATTATTCAAACGAACTCCTCCCTGCCAGCCTCAAGAACTGTTGTGAGTAGCCTATGAGACCGTATCAAAGTGCTTTGAGGACTTTTAGACAAAATCATTCAATCTCAGGAGCCCTGATTGCTCACAGAATGGTGAGCCAACTCCTCTCACCCTTGCATCCTGACCCAGTTTTTTCCGTGAGCCGTCTTCCTTTTTCCCATCTCTTGCCACCTTCCTGGGCACCAGATCCTGCCTCTGCTAGCCCTGGCCATGGCCTGTCAGTCTCTGTACCCCTCCTGGAATTGGAAAGGCCTGGCAGGCTTGGGTCCTGCCACTTTAATTTTGGGTGTTGGGAGGGTGTAATTTTCCCTGACTCCCAGCATCCTCTGTTCCCCACTGACCTACCCAAGAGCCACAATCTCTGTTGCTTTCCTTGGTTCCAGACTAAAGGGGAGCAGGGCATGACTGGAGAAAACACCCACCCCACCTCAGCCAGCCCTTCCTTCCTCCAAAGGGGCCCCAGCTCACCTTCTGGCCCTCCCATCTTGTCTATAATTTTAATTGCCACTTTTCTTTCGTGTTTTTTGGAAAATGCTTCTTTGACTTTTGAGTAGGTCCCTTCCCCAATGGTCTTGCCCAGCTCGTACCCATTGGAGAGGAGAAAGTCCTCCATGCTGGCTAGCGTCTCCTTACTTCCTGTCACACTCCCAGCTCATGCTGTCTCTGTGAGGCAGCTCTACTCCACCACCGCCCTTGGCCTGCGCTTTTTCCCCCCAAGGACTTCATCCGCAGCCACCCCAGCGCTAGAACATTCTCCTTAGGAACACAGCAGCCGTGAGTGGTGGGGAGGGAGAGGGCCGGACATTTTCTAACTGGCCCAATTGTGATGTAAATGCTGTGTGACCCCTGGCTAAACTGGCAATGCCCCTATCTGCCCTCACCACCACCAAACCCAGCACCAATTAGGTCGCTGCTGTGCCCCTGCCCTGCGCCAGCAGGGAGTCGCAGCCCCTCCTTTAGGGGACGCTCCGTGGGGTCTGCGTGCCGTCCAGGAAGACTGGCTGTTTTCCGAAGACGCGCCCCACGCGACTGTTTGCCCTCGCCTGCTGCGCCCCCATCGCGCATCTGGGGGACGACGGGAACCGGTCTCAAGACGCAATGGCAGGAATCCTCCGGCTCCCGACCGCGTTAAGTGCTGGGACGGTGGAGGTTCCCCGGCGGGAAGAACGGGCTCTGTGAGGTCAACGCGCCGCGGCCCGGGTCACAATGCAACCCTCCCCTTCGAAGCCCGGGTCCGGACGCACTGCAGACACCTGCGCGAAGCTGCCTGGACTGGAGCGTCCTTCTGCTGCCAGGGCACCTGCAGCTGCTTTCAGCCTGGAACCGGTCTCGGCCTCCCGCAGGTGAGCAACGGCTCAGGGGACAGGCGCAGCTGGGGGTACGCCTGGCGGCCTGACCGCCACTCCCCGCGCAGAACGCCCCGGGGCCTGGACATGAGTGCCCAGGAGACCCCGCAGGGTCGGAGATTACCGCTTGAGGCCGGAGATTCCCCTGGCCTTGCCGCCGCACCCGAGTCCCAGGACAGTCCGGAGCAGGTACCTACGGAGCACAGCCCGGTCAGGTGAGGCCTGCGGCCTTCCCCGCGGCCCCTCCTGCCGTCCCGGCCCTCTCGACCCCGTCGACTTCTCCCGGTCCCGCCCCTTCTCCCACTGTAGTCCCCAGGCTCCCCACACCCCCACGTAAGGTGCCCACTTCCACTCCCGAACCACGGAGACCCCAGGTGCAACCCCTGGACTCGTCCCCTACTGGATGGACCGGTCCCCGCCTCAGCACCCCGCTTCCGCAGGCCGCTTCGACGCTGCCCCGGCTGCCACTGCCTGACGCTGCTGCACGTGCCCATCGACGTCTACCTGGCCATGGGCGGGAGCCCCCGGGCCCGGGCCACCTAAGTGCGCCTGCGCACGGAGGCTCCCCGGGAGCCGGGCTGTAACAAGGCCTCCCCGCGGGCCTCCACGCTGAGGTCGCGCGCGGCGAGCAAGAGACGATGATGCACGTTTTGAAATAAAAGAATGATGCACATTTTAATAAAGCACAGTATAAATATTCTTTCCATTCCGGGCTGGCCGTGTATGTCTATCGCGTCCGATCGGGCCGCTGACTGCTCCGCCCCATCCAAGAGTACCTTCCCCTCCCTCCCCACCCCGGTGGCGGCTGTGTCACTAGAACCCAGGCCTAGGGGCCCGCCCTTCTGGGTCAGCCTTCTTGCCAGGCGCCAACCCCTCCTCCATTTCTTGCTGGTCGTGAGCCCTTCCAGGACAGCCTTTCCTCTTGGGCCCTACCTCTTGCTCCCATATCCCTCTCCTTAGTTCTTCAGTGAAATTCACACTACCGTGCTGGACTCTGGGAGCCCCCAGAAAGCTCGGGACTGGAGGGGGCGGACAGACAACTTTGAATAATGAGAATGGCCACCCATACAAGGCCCATTTAATTTTCCCAAGGTGGAATTCGGTTCTGCTACCTGCTGTTTTGTGACCCTGGGTACCTCTGACTTTGTTGGGGGCATTAGGGGCTGCCCTGTCCATCTTGAGTCTTGGTTTCCCCAAGGACTGGTGGGACCAGAAAAAGACTGGGAAAGAAGTCGTTTGAAAAACTTTGATTTCTTATTATTTTACAGGTGAGGATGCTGAGCCTCAGGAGACATGCCCAGGGTCCCCCAGATGATACGTGATGCTAGCACACTCCTTGGTGTCCTCAGACTTAATGCCCTAAATCCATCCCTTAGCAGGGGCCCACGACAAGAAGGCAGCCTGGAAATACAGTATTTAAGCTAAACGAGTATTTTCTACTTTCAGTTTTACTTAAATGAACCTGTAGATTGTAGATTAATGATACCAAAATAAAAATAAAAAAAATAAAAAAGGGATAGAGACTGGCAGGGGCCAGGGTAACCACTCTGTTCCATGGAAATAAGGAGCCTTGTATAGTGTTATCAGGAGTCAGGCCACTGGATTCTAGTTCAAACTTTGCCCCAGACTCGTCAGTACAGGTCAACTAGCCAGACGTGTGTGGAGCACTGGGGTATTCAGTGGTGAACTTGATAGACATGGGCCTTGTGCTCATGGAATTCACATGGCCTAGCAATGACCTGCTGGGAGGACTCACTGACATAAGTCCCTTCTTTCTGAGCCCATTTCCTCAATTTTTTTAATTTAAAAAGGCACCAACTGATCTCTATGGACCTTGCCAGCCACAAAATGCTGCATCTTTCCCATTCTTCCTTTCTGTCTTTTCATCTCCCTTGCTTCCTTTTCCCTATCAACTCTCCTTTTCTTTAAAAAAGATTCACTGCTACCTCCCATATGCTTGGTTAGTGAAGGATGGAAAGATTTCAGATACACACCCTGTCAATTGTCCAGATCCTGGGGCTAGTTAGTTTTGGAATGTGTCCATGAGCAAGGGGAAAGGGCATACCACATGGAAAGTGTGGGTAAAATTGTAATATTTCCAGAATATCTCGCCTGGCTTTAATGCATTTGCATATCCTTAGGGTGGAGAGAAGTTTATCCCCATGTCAATGGGTAATTACCTGGGCAACCAAGGGCTTATCTGAACCTGAAAAGTCAGGGGGAGGTCCTTCCTTGCTTGTTTGCTTCTGCAGGAACAGGAGAGAGAGAGACAGCTCCGGACTGTAGCTTGTAAGCAATGAACAGGATTTAAACTCTATTTTTCCCTTTGACTGATTTTGGTTTTTAGAGGTTTTTTGCCCCGGGATTTCCTCTTTCTGGCTTTACAGAGAACACTGTGGCCAAAGGCCTGGAGGCAGGAGAGTGGAGGGGAAGTCCCAGGAATTCTGTTCAGTCAGTTTTCACCAGCACCTACCTGGGTCATACCAGGTGCTAAGAACACAGGCCTGAATCTGACAGATCCCTTGGCCTTGCAGATCTCAGAATCAGGGAATCCAGGGATGAGTTAACAGAAGAGAAGCTGGATCAGGGGGCCTTGAGTTTCAACTTTGCTCTGTAGGTGACAGGGAGTATGACAGGCTCCAACCTGAGTCACTTTACTCTGCTATTCCTCTCCTTTTCCATCCTGTTCTCAGTTTTTTCTTCCTTTTTTCCTGCTGGAAAAGTCATTGGCGTAAATTCTAGTCGGATTTGAGTCCTGACTGCCATTTACTAGCTGTGCCAACCTTGGGCAAATTAGCTTTTCTGAGTCTCCATTTCTAAATCTGTACAATGGGATTACTGACACCTGCTGGAAGTTCTCTTGCAGCCCCAGGCAGGAATCTCTGGCACAGCTAGTGCTGGATGAGCCAGAGAGGCTGCTGCTGTTCCTACCTTTGGCTTCAAGGGGCAGCAGAGAGCCAGCCACTCAGGTCCCCAGGGGCTGGGTGATGTCCTGCCTTGGAGAGGGTTGGGGAATCCTTCTTGCCTTCCTCTGCCAGGTTCCCAGCAGTTCTGCTAAGAAGCCCAGGAACTGGTGGAGGGGGTGGGGTGGGGGGACATTTCCAGGGGAATACCCAGGTGGGAAAGACAGAACTGCCTCCCTCATCTTAGAGGGTAAAGGGGTAAAGCTGTCCCAGACCCTAAAGCAGGACCCCCAGGTCCCAGCCTTATTCTCTGGTTCTGAGGATTGGGGAGAAGCCCGGGGATAGGGGCATGCTCAGATCACTGCCTTCCCTGACTTCTCTCTCAAACACCTTATTAGCCAGCCCCTCCCTAAGGGACCCCCTTTTTTAGAAGCAGGGGGCGAAGTACAGATGGACCCCCAGGTTACCATGGAGACAACAGGGAAAGGGTTGCTGTATCACCATGGCAACTGTTGACGTCAGTGCTACCCTTTCCCATCGCTTGATATAAGAGGGGCAGCCACCCCAACAGCAAGCAAATCCCCCACAAAGCCTCCTCCCCTTAGTGAGCCAATCAACCAGGGGGTCGACTGGCTTAATATAGATATATAACCGCACAGGAGTTAAAAGCAGACTCTGGTGTCAGTCAAACCTTGGTTCAAATCCTTAGTCTGCCTAATTTCAGCTGTGTGAATTTGAGCAAGTTCCTTAACCCCTGAAGTCTCATTTGTACAATGGGGATAAATGCCTCCAAGGGGTAGTGTGAGGACTGCCCTGGATCATGCAGATAATGGGAATCAGGGAAGCTTGTGGGAAGTGCGCACCGACTTTAGGGACTGTCAGGAGTCCCGGGGACCGGTCAGGGGATGTGGCCCTTCAGATATATACTCACATCACCTAGACAGCCCCGGGGACTTCCAGAAAGTAGACCCCCAAGTTTGAGCATCTCAGAATTTGGGGGTCTCAAGATGAAGCCAGAGACAGTGGAATTTCCAGACTCTGAGAAACCCTAAATGCCACTTTCCCTTAAAACCCATCACATCTGGACTTTGACCCAACTTCCCTTTCTCCTCCCCTCTGCTTCTCTTAGGCCTTCTTAGCAGCCTTCTACCTCTCGGGCCTCCACCTGCTCCTCTAGGAAGAAGATGGGGAGGGCCCATGGGAAGTAATAGGTGAGTCACTGGCTTGGATCCCACAGGGATATGGGTGTCCCAGCTCCCACTGGTCTCTCCCTACCCACCCCTGGGGTAAGGGCCCTGGAATCATTCTCATTCCCTCTCTTCCCCCGTCTCCAGTCCAGGTGACCACTGTCCATTCTACTCTAATTCTACTGCCACCACCCTGAATCAGGCACCCACTGCTGCTCAAGCAGCCTCCTAACTGGTCAGTCTCTCTGCTCCCTTCCTCACTTGATTCCTCCAGAGTTATTTTATAAAGACATCAAATCCAGCCATGTCATCGTCCTATTTTAATTTCATTAATGGCTTCTTTATGTCCAGCTTGTCCATACTACCCTGGACACCCCCCAGCTCTTCACAAACCATTCTTCCCACCTTTAAGCATGCTATTCCTTCTGCCTGGAAGAGCCTCCCTTCTAATCCCATTTACCCTTCAGATCTCTACCACTTGTTCTCCAAGAAGACTCCTCTGACCACCTGTCCTTCCCATCCCACAGAACCTGCTCATTCCATTGTATCTATTCTTTGATCCCTGTCTAATGCTTGTCTTCCCCATTACCCTACGGACTCACTGAGGGCAGGAGCTGTGTCATACTCATCCTGACATCCCCAGGGCCTAGAATGGGGGGCTCGGGAGTTTGTAGAATGTCAGCAGATTCGACTAGCTAATGAATGACTGCTCAATAAGACCACAGAGGAGAGGCCCCAATACTATGAGAAGGAATAGCAGAGCCAGCTGGTGGGTATATGATGGCTTCTGTAAGCAATTGACACTGGAACTGATATGAGCAGCAGTCACCCAGGCAAAGGCATAGGGGTGGGAAATGTCCCCAGCACTGGGATTGGTATGTGCCATGAGTGATCTTGGTGTGAAGACACTATGCACAGGAACATACATTTTGGAAAGACAGCCCTGGCTGCTCTGTGGAAACGGATCAGGAGGCTGCTGCAGCCTCCCCAGTTAAGGACGGTGGAGCCTTGGACCAGGTGTTAGAATGGAAATGGAGAGAAGCAATAGGATTTTAGCTGTATCCTAGAGAAGACAAGAGTTTCAAAGCTGACTGAATATGAAAAGGGAAAAAGATGGAAGAGCCTAGAACAAAACCCAGAATTCTGGTTCAGGCAACTGAGAAAATGGTCAAGCTTGGGCACATGGGAGGAAGGGCAGGTACAGGGCATGTTTCCTGTGAGGTGGTCAGAGGAGAGGTCCAGGAGACAGGTGGGGGGCAGGGAAAAGAGGCTGGTAATGAAAGAAAAGAAGCGAGTCCCTGACTGTATAGGTGGACACCGAGGGCATGGGAACTGATAAGATTCCCCTGGGACAGACTGTACAGGGCCCAGGAACACCGATGATTAGGCAGTGAGCAAAGGGTGAGAAATTTGCCATGAGGCAGCAACCAGTAAGATAGCAAGCAAATCAAGAGAGCACAGTGTCCCCCCAAAAAAGGGCACAAAAGTATCTCAAAAAGGAGGGAGTATTTATGTCAAAGTCAGCCACTGCTGAGGGGCCAAGTCAGATAAGGGCTCAGGAGCATCCCTTGGATTTAGCAACAAGGAGCTCAGTGATGACCTTGATGAGCTGTTCC